TAGCAATTTTAATATAAACTGATAATAACTCGCATAAAATGTGTATTTTATATTGTTGATATAAAACTAATACTCTGAGTTATCTGCCACAACTAACCAAAAAAGTTAATAATTTGTGGGTACATCAAAATATTTTTACAAAGTAACTGTACCACATAGGGTACGGTAGGCCTATATGGGTTAAAGTAACATTAGGCATAACGTGGCATTTAAGGCCAGCAACGCTTCTGCAATTTCCCTGGGGTATTCTTAGGCGGCGGTAGTCACTTGAGATCTTATGACTAATGACACATTAATTGCATCATTGCTTGTCAGCCTCATGTTTGTTTGCTACTCCCCTTATTATAATAAGGCTTGGTGTTGTTTTTGTCAAAGTTTCTTTCGTCTCGTAACATTTAATTGTTTTAGAAAATGTTTTTAAATTTGTTGGCAAAATCTTATATTACAAATACCTTTAGCGGCTTAATTTCATTATTTATAATGAAAACGAGTTGAAAGGCTGTTAAAGTATGCAGATATATGAAAAAATGTTACAGTAGGGACTGTGATGCGAATAAATAACCAAATTCGAGTCTTTGCTTTTGTGTAAGTGCCTGTAGTATACTAGAACTTTTCAATTGTCGTAAATAATTATCAACAATTTATATTCTTCGTTCTTTTCATACGAACAGTTTAAAGGTAGTGATTTGTAAAATGGACCCGAATGTTTTTTTTTTTATTTATTAAACTTAGGACCACAAACAAGTTCACAATTATTAACTTATCTAATATAATTACTACACATATTATATTATTCTGAACCCAGCAACGCTGGTCACTTACTTAAGTATAACATTTTTCCACAATAAATAAAGCTTGTTACATAGTACCACTTGACATTGACAATATCTTGTTATTCTTAATCTAGAATTAAAATCTAAACACAGTATCGACTGACAAATATTGTAGGGTTATGGTAGGATATATGACACCACTGCTCATTAGTTTTTTTTTAAATCGTCGTGTCATATAATCCATTATCTACTCAATGAGTACTTGTTTAAATATCTCAGTGACAATCTTCTTATAATTACCTCGTCCAATGGCATTAATATCGATATCATTAAAATTCTCATTGTACGAGTGCATCATACGTGATAAAGAGGACCTTCGTCCCGCGTTAGTTCGGCATAAATTAATACAAAAAAGTTTATGAGAATGGGCCACGCACTGATGTGCTCTGGTAGGTACTCTATAATTTATATTCTCAGTTATATCCATACAGTCGTATCTATTGTGACACAGGTCATAAAATAACATTGCCTCGAGAATGGTACGCCTTGATTTAAGAGTGGTAAGATTATATTTTGCCATGAGTTGATTGTACGGTATTTTTTTTCTCGCATATTTATAATGGATATATTTAAGAAATTTCTTCTGCACAATTTCTAGTTTATCAATATATTTTTTATATAGAGGATTCCAAATAGTCACTGCATACTCTAAATGACATCTTATTAAGGATTTATAAAGATGTAAGTAAGTCAATGAATTTTTAAACATATTACCAGATCGGATGACGAAACCATACATCTTATAAGTTTTGTTAATAATATTTTCAATGTGTATACTTATATGTATTATATGTAGTTTAGTGTCTAAAGTTACTCCAAGATCCCTGATTGCTATTTCTTGAGATAAGGGGTTACCACATAAATAATAGATGCAAGAGCTGGTTTTTTCTTTTTTGTAAAAGTTATAGATATACATCTGTTAAGACTGAGTTCTAACTTATTTCTATTACAGTACGATGTGAAACGGTTTAAATCATCCTGGAATTCTAAATGGTCATTAGTGTTGTTGATAATTTTAAACAAAACGTAAAAAATATACCTTTAAGTCATCAGCATATAAAAGGAACCTACTTGAACGGAAGCACGTATTAATGTCATTTATAAATATTATAAATAGAAAAGGACCAATAATAGACCCTTGTGGCACGCCCGAGGTAATCCGATTTATGACCCCTAATAACCACTTTTTGCATTCTGTTTGAAATGTAAGACTTAAACCACCGCCATAGATTACCTCTTATTTCATTATAAATAATGAAATTTTATGGTCGACCCGGTCAAATGCCTTGCGAAAATCTGTGAACACACAGTCAACTTGCTTACCTGCATCGAGAGCTTCAAATAGGAAGGTCGAGTAAATAATTAAATTAGTCACAGTAGATCGATTCTTAACAAAGCCATGCTGCTGTGGCAATATAACGTTACGTAAAAGCAGATAAACGGCGTTATGTACTAATCGTTCAAAAATCTTCGCTAACGCAGGTAGTATGGAGATGGGTCTATAATTTTCAACTTCTTTCTTAGACACTCCTTTGTGTACGGGCGCTATTCTAGCAGTTTTCCAGACTTTGGGAAAAATTCCACATTGCAAACATTTATTATACAGGAGGCATACCGGGTCATCAATAACCTCAGCACCAGATTTTAGAACAGAGCATGGACATTGTCCACCCCGGCACCCTTCGTTACATCTAACATCTTTAATTGGTTAGTGACTTCAAGTTTTGTGAGTTTGATGTCGTTTATAAGAATATCAGGTGTTTTAGTATCGTCAACAATGAACTATCTATGGATATCAAAGTCATCAGTGACCATAGTTGGCTCAAAAACCGAATGAAAAAAGCTAGAGAATATTGAACAAACTTCGTTAGGACCTGTAGCCACCCTATCTTTAAAATTAACAGTACTCGGTATGTCAGAGATCTTTTTACGATTCTTCAAATTATAGGTCCAAAAGAATTTACTTTTATCCCTGATACTACTCTCTACTTTACTAATATAGTTATTATAGCAACGCTCAGAAACTTTTTTGAATTTATTTCTGTATATGGAAAAGATATTGTAATTCGATTCACTTCGATATTTTTTCATTTTTGTCCAAGCCCGGTTTTTTTTATTGTATATCAGAATTAATTCAGGCGTAAACCAACAAGGGAAACGATTAGGTTTGACTTCTTTGATTGGCACATGTTTTTTAATAATTTTGTAAATTGTCTCATAAAAGCACGCAGCATCATCTTCGGCATCTTTGTCCAAAAAAAGATTTTCCCAATCGATTAAATTTTATAATTTCATCTTTTATTTTATCATAGTTAGCCAATCTATAGCATTGTCGAAATGTTATATTACGTTCTATGTATTTTTGTGATTCTGATAATGTAATGAAAACTTCAAAAGGGGGTTGAAGAGCATCGGGAGGTACCAACGGTGAGGTCACCGATGATAGGCTGCACTTAGTTGTATTTGTTATAGCTAAGTCTAGGATTCTGTTATTTTTATTAAGAATATAGTTCACCTGATGACCGTTTATTAGTGATATAAAATTAATTAGGCACCAGCACGAGGGATTCAAGTTCAAATCTATTATAGGTACAAGGGCCTGGCCGGTATTATTCCAGCCAAGATTCGGCAGATTAAAATCACCAATTATAATAAAACTTGCAGTCGATCCAGATAATTGGTTTTGTAATAAATTAAAAAAAAACTATATATCAAAATTTTGATTAGGTGGGATATAGACAGCTGAGAGAATATAAACATAGTTTGCAATGCATAACTCTAGTAATAAAAAAATCAACAAGAGGCGGGAGGGGCTCAAAGTCATGCGTCAGCGTTCCAAGACGAGCTACAGCACAGAGTGAACGGTGCACCGCTATCAGTATGCCTCCGCCGTCGTGCCGGCCGGTCGTTGCACGATTTCTGTCCTTTCTAAAAATATGATACCTATCGTCTATAAATTCATTGTCGCCAAGTTAACCAAGTTTCCGTTAATACGATTATGTCGTATGTATGAGAGATAATATTCATATAAAGAGTATGGAGTTTAGTACGTAATCCTCGAAAATTTTGGTAATATACAGTTAACATATTAGAATCGAATTTTTTTAATTGTATTATAACAAAGTAAGTAAAACCGTTCGGTGCAATATGCGGATAGAAAATGTTGTAAGATATAAATAAAATATTAAGAACACAAAGCATATTGTGGCATGATAAATGTGATAAGAAAAATTATGTTTAACAGTTTTCTGAATATGATTTTTAAGATTTAATATGGGATATAGCCAAATACTTTTGGGTAAAATTATTATTGCCATCATACAATGAGATCACAAAAACTTTTTTATGTATATACGAGTAGAATTATGAACAAGTGAGGTAATATTCATATAAAGAGTATGCAGTTTAGTACGTAATCCTCGACCATTTTGGTAATATAAAGTTAACATATTAGAATTTAATTTTGATTTATTGTATTTATAACAAGGAAGTAAAACCGTTCGGTGCAATATGCGGATAGAAAATGTTGTGAGATATAAATAAAATATTAAGAACACAGAGCATATTGTGGCATGATAAATGTGATAAGAAAATTTATGTTTAACAGTTTTATGAATATTATTTTTATGATTTAATATGCGATATAGCCAAATACTTTTAGGTAAATTATTATTGCCATCATACAACGAGATCACAAAAACTTTTATTATGTATATACGAGTGGAATTATGAACGCGTGGATTAGACAATGGTGAATAATTATTACATAAGTTATCATAACAATAAGGTGAATTCTTAATATTATTAGGGCTTAATTTTATTAATATCTTGTTCATTACGAATTGAGAATATGGGAGAAGTGTCGTTTTGACGAACCAGTATGGTACCATGTTTAATCCAGACAAATTTGTAATTGTTTTTTCTGGCCACTTCACGACTGGTAGAAATAATTTCTTATTTTTGGGTGTCAGGTGTTCATTGATGTAAATATTTCGCGAGGTACCTGATATCAGTAGTTGATCTGATTTGACGCATTTTACTACCCGCGCAGCAGCAATCACCTTATCCCGTATTATTTTGGTGGAGAATTTCACGATGACATTTTTCGGGTGGGGATTTTTTTTATCCATATGCGGTATTCTGTGCACTGATACTATGTCGGCAGGATTAATAGGGGTGCTTAATAATTGAGCCAATGTTTTGAAGTACAGCTATCAAATTTTCATCACGACGTTCTGGGAGATTGACAATTTCTATATTAGACTGCCTGACCTGTTGCTCCATCATGTCTATTTTAGATTCCAGCATTGATAACTGAGTGGGGACTTCTTTACGCCGCAGAGAATCCTCTTCCATCGTTTTTAAACGAGCGTCAAAAGCATCTTGCCTATCACTCATATAGTTTACCGAATCATGCATATCGTTTAACCGAAGATTAAACTGGTTCAGGGTATCATTAATGGATGTTGTTAATTTGCAAATTTCTCTCTCAAGTACCAGATTTACGGCATTTTTAACAGAGTCTGTGACTACCGCCTCAATGCTAACTTTAAAAGATTCCATTTGGTCAGCTATTTTCAACTCTAACGTAAAAATAAAAAATCCATAATTGAGTTCAACTCGTCGGCTTCAGGTTGTTTGCGTTTACGCATATTAACAAAGATATTATTATCAGTTGAAGTTGAAGCGGTTGACAAGTCCGGATTAGATGAACACAACTTAAATTGATTCGGGGGAGTTCGCTGCATATTCGCCATCATATAGTCGTCCTTTTCAAATCAAGCTACGAATATGTTGAGCGATCCTTTTTGTTAAATGACACTTGGTCACGACGCAAGTGAGACAGTCAAACACGATTTAAACCACTTGGTGCACTAGTCACACAAGATTTTTACTTATGGATATTGCAATAGTTTCGAAATTCAAACGTTAAAAATATTGCAAATAATGGAACAGCGAAGTACACAACTGCTTGTAACAAGCTTCACAGACGGAATGAAATGTTAAATATTAAATGAATATAATTAAATATATTATACCACTAATTAAATATTTTAATTACGTTTTTTTCCGATTGCTCAATAATCAACGTTATTATTTATGTATCGATTATTTAAGGTTTTTTTATTTATTTCTTGGAAAATATGTGTGACAAACAAGAATCATTCGATCTAATGGCAAGAAGATGCTGTGATCCATAGCCATTTATTTTATTTGTTATAGCGTAGCCCTTCCCAGATCAAGCCGACCTATATGTGCAACAACCATAATATAGCTGCAGCGCAGCTCTACCACGTCTAAAATATAGTACCGTAAAATAAGTTTTATCAAGTTTTTTTCATAATGGTTTACTTCCTGAATATCCTTAATATATATACTAATTTAAACATGTTTCCAAAAATGTTTGTCATCATTATTTAACTAGTGTCACATTTCCCTTAAACTAGAATATTCCACAATATATTATGATTATGGAATTTTCTCTTTGATTTCTCAATAGTTTGCTAGTCTTCATCATTATTACAGCCGCGCAACATAGGCCCCCACAAATAATGCACGGTCTTAAGCCACCTGAATCCTTTAGCTAACTAATTTACTAAATTTAATGCGCGTGATTTTAATCTATTAGTTTTACCAGTTTGCCACTCCATCTTGTTTAATTTTATAGTAGTACAAAGGAATTACCCGTTGTAGTTTAGAGGCTAAGCACTTTTCGTAAATTTACGACAAAGAAACAATACAGATGTAAGCAACCCAGGTTCGATTCTCGCTGACACTCAAATGGTTTTAAACGACATTTTAATAAATTGTTACTAATATCTTGAACGTGGATAAAACGAAAGTCATGTTGAACGTCCACGTCATACCCATGCCGGTAGTTGTTTGAAGCAATAAGCTCGAAGTTGTCGACGATAATGTTTACTTAGGATAAAAAATCTAAGTAAGTCCAACTTCAACCGAGAAATTAATTGAAGTACTCTACTTAGCTCGGCCGCGTTCGGAAGATTACGACATATCTTCTCGACAGGTACTACATCTCAAAATCTGAAAACAAGATTGTACAACTAGTGCGGTTTGTCAGTGATGACTTATGGATCTAAGACGTGATCCTCCACTGCTGGCCGTATGAGAAAATGGAGGAGAAGTCTGCGTTCGGGGCTTCTCTGCATTATAGACTTAAAGACGACGAATATCCGCAGTAGAACCAGAGGAACTGACATAGCCCAACGGATTCATAAGCTAAAGTGGTAATTGGCTGGCCATACAGCTCGAAGAAACTACAACCGATGGCGAAGAAAGGTTCTCGAGTGGCAACCTTGTACCGGTAGGTAAAGTATAGGGAGGCCCCCACTAGATGGAGTGATGACCTGATAAGACATGCGGAAATTCGATGGATGGGTGGCTCAGGACCGTAATTTGTGGCATTCCTGGCGGATGTCTATGTTCATCAGGGAACTTGTGAAGGGCTGTAATGACGACGACTCATGTCTTCTGTCAAATAACCTCCTCAACTCAATAAAAGACAGTTATTTAGATATTATAGACAGACACTTCAATTTTATTTATCTGTTGTACAGATATTATTTTAATACTTGACACATTGATATACAAAAACATATATCAATGACTTAATATTGTCTGTTATGGACTGCTACTACAAAATTACAACAACAGAAAATGCAAAATTTAATATTCCAAACGTTTCCTTAAAATCGAAACAAATGGGCGTTACTATTTGTTTCCAGTTTCAAAGCGGTTAGTTGCCAGTTTATAACAATTTCATAGTAAAAAAGAAACTGCTTTGCTCGCTACAATGATCATTAATTACTCCGAGCACGCGCGCCCATTGTTTTGGAGCGTGATACTTAAAAAAATATTTTTCTCTAAAAGGTAAAAGGCTCTGTAATTAGTTCGTTTATCAGTGTCAGTATGCACCAAAAACTATTGGAACGGCTTTTTAGAGAACTCTATTGTTCCCTTTTTGTGTCAAACGAAGCCAAAATTCAACAGTGGATAGATAAAAGCATGGCTTTGTGGGAATTCGCGTAGCCGGTTACGATATATATCCAAAAATATAATAAAATTAAAGTCGCTGTTTGTAATGTTAAAATAACAGCTGATTTCTACATGCATATGAAAATGTATATAAATTTATAGATACTTATAAAAAAATGACTCTTAAAATTTATATCTGTCTGTCTGTCTGCTTATTTGTCTGTCTGTATGTTTCGGCGAATATTTAAAATGGCTAGACTGATTCTGACGGGAATTTCACTGGTAGATAGCTGATATTCTAAAGAGTAAATTAGGCTACCTACTTGTGGTTTAGAAAAAGAATTACGCTTCCACGCAAAAAACTTCAAACCAATTAAGTCACTACAAAACTTTAAAAAAATACGCAAGTCAATTTTATTTTTAAAAACCAAGTTTTTGTAAGTGCAGCGAAATTATTTCATTTATATTTTTATAACTAGCTTAAATCTATAATTTAATTTAAATGTTACGAAGGACGAAATTTTATTATGTATTACGTTTTTAATATTTTGTCGCGTAAGATTTTTAGTACCTAAAAATTTTTTTTTTGAAATTTTTAGAGGGATATTTTTGATGAGTGAACTTTGAGAACAATGAATGAGGAAACTTTGGTAGAAAAAAAGGCATAAGAAGTCGATGCAAGCGAGATGTCAAAAACATGTTAATAATGTTTTAAAGAGGAAGAATTCTTCCATTTCCCATAATCGCCATTTACGACATCCACTGAACGAAAGGAGATTTAATATGTCGTAATCAAAAGATTAGCGTAGCCGTTACCGTTGCAGCCTAATGAAGTCCACTGCTGAACCTCCTAGACCTCCCCATATATTGCCTCATAGTGGGTTATATTTGCCATAGTTACCACGCTTGGCAAGCGGGTTAGCAACCGCAGTGTTTTTATTTCCAGTCGTTATAAAGTAGATGCAGCTGTTCATCTCCTAATTTGTTTCCCTCTGTCGCCTCTTACGACACCAACGGGTGATGTGTTCTACATTTTTATACGTTATCTATACATACCCAGGCTGCACTAAAAGTATCGGGAATGGAATATTTCCATTGTTCCTGTCATATTAAAATCTTTTTAATTGAAAACTCCTTGGTTTTAAAAATCGAATACCATTTATTTATTTAAAAAAAAGATTCTCGGTCTTGTCACAAGGTTTTGTCAAACTTGTTTAGTCGTTGAGAAAATGGAATTGACTCGAGAAAATTCAAGAGCGATGATTTATTATGACTTCCGAAGTGGTTTAACACAAAAACAGTGTATTGACTAAATGATTTCTGCATTTGGTGATGAAACCCCATCCAATTTATCGCTGATTTGCTGAATTTCAACGTGAACGTGTCAAGCTCAGTGATGATCCCCATCAAGGTTGTCCAAAAACTGCAGTCACCCAAGAAAACGTTGATGCTGTGCGTAAGCTGATTGAGGAAGATCGACATGTGACATACCGCAAAATTCAGGCAACTTTAGACATTGGCATGTGTTGGCGACGCGCCTATAAGAATATTTCAGTTTATTAAGTCAACCGATGACGAATAGCTTCTAAAAAGGCAAATTGTCCAATAGCAATGTTCTAATAAGAAAATGCTTAGTTAAATCTTAAAGAATGTCGAATTAATGATATGAAGGTCTTGGGTTCGACTCCCAGGCCGGACTAGTTTATTGTTTTCTTAAGTAATATCTCTTAATAAATTCATATAGGGAATTTTAAGATATAAATTATGTTACCGGATTTGTTCCCCGGTTGAAATCATCTTTCCAATGATGTAAATTCAAAGGAATATTAAAGTGAAGTTAGAGATCGGATTTGTTCCCCGGTCGAGATGATCACTCTGTGCATAAATAGAATTAACGGAAATTAAATGCATAAGTATTGCCTTATATGAGTTTGATATGTTTTGTATGAAAATAAATGCCTATTTGCTATGATTAATTTATGAGAACATTCACTTATATTGTTATCTGATAAGAAACATGATAACTGATAAGAATCTGATTAGAAATAGTTTCCTACAGTTTGAAAATTGTGTAGAAGCATTTATTCACCTAATACTGTCGATATTGGTGTATATTAGACTTTTCATTTTTTTCTGATAGTCAAGAGCCGTGCAAAAGTTAGTTGTTCAAATAGTGTGAGTTCATAGACGCACGCTAGCCACGTACTTAGGAGGCCAAATATGTAGAAATTTAAATATTTGTAATTTCAGCAATTTATGTAAAAATGACTTGTGAAACATTTCAGATTGATTGTACGTGCAAAAGAGGTGAATTCTGTGTTATTTTTATGTGAAAATTCCTGTGAATAAGTGAAATAATGATAGTTTTGTATAAGAAATTTAAAAGTGTTTTAAATAGTGAATTGTATAGATAAAATGTAAAT